CCGATGCACGAAATTCGTGCAAGAGTAGGCCTTCCTTCCCCCGGTTGCTGGCACTGGCTTCCCTCTGGCACCTGGGACCCGGGCTTTCCTTGTAGCCCCAGCTTCTTCTGGAAGGTAGTCCAGAAGGACATCCGGAAGGACATCCAGTCTAATTAGCATATTATGATTTTATTATTATAGATATATTAGAGAGAGAGTGGAAGAGATAGGGAAAGACAGAAAGAAACATCGATGTGAGAGAAACACATTAATTGGTTGCCTCCTGCACAAACCCTGACCAGGGCCTGGGCTGGGGAGGACCCTGCAACCAAGGTATGTGCCCTTGACCAGAATTGAACCCAGGACCCTTTGGTCTGCAGGCCAATGCTCTATCCACTGACCAAACTGGCTAGGTCACCAAAGTATAATTTTCAAAATATTAAAAGAAAAATTCGTATACACATTGACAGTGAACCAGTATCAAAAATTGATTTAATTCATTAATGAGGAAGTCAAAGATCTAAAAGCTGTTTCAAAAAGGATATGAGAAGTGGGACTTTATAGTCAGTGAAGGAAAAGGCATTTTGAAATAAGATTGCTACCATGGATACAAAACTAATGTCCAAAGCACAACAAAACCATAAGCTTTGGGATCTTTTCTACTGGGCTGAAAAGAAAATCATCACAGTTTCCCATTTTTCTATAAGTTGACCTCTGTCTTTTTTAAAAAAATATATATTTTATTGATTTTTTACAGAGAGGAAGGAAGAGGGATAGAGAGTTAGAAACATCGATGAGAGAGAAACATCGACCAGCTGCCTCCTGCACACCCCCTACTGGGGATGTGCACACAACCTAGGTACATGCCCTTGACCGGAATCAAACCTGGGACCTTTCAGTCCGCAGGCCGACGCTCTATCCACTGAGGCAAACCGGTTAGGGCTTGACCTCTGTCTTTACAGATTTATAAAAGATCTGTGTCCTAATCAATAGTAAATTGTATGGCAAAAAAGTCACAGTCCCTTAGTGAGTCAGCTGAACCTTAGTCGGATTTGCTGGCTAGTGCTCCAGAATTAAGAGACCATGTAATCATCTTATTTCCACGTTTTGTCTCATTTTTCTTAATGTTATTCCTGGGCAGTGCTATTGCTGCTATTTCCCAGTAATCTACAGCTAAAATAATAAATTTGAACATTGGCATTAATGTGCCCCTCAACAATCTTGGTTGGGAGTTTGAAGACCAAACTTGGTGGTTCTCTTCTTGGGGTTTCAGAGTTGCCAAAAAAATGTGTTCCTTCCTGATTTGTTCTTCTAACCTCTTGTTCTAAGAGTGTACTGCCAAATTAGCCAAACTGAGCAACTGGTGATAGAAAAACAGGAATGTCTTAGTCTGTGTTATGGGGACATTGTGTCCCCTCCAAACTCAGAAGTAGGTAGCAACTTTCTGGAAAGCAAATTGGCAATGTGTAACAACAGCTTTAAACATGTCTATAACCTAGACATATGAAAGGATGCTCAATGTCACTAGTCATCAGAAAAATGCAAATTAAAGCCACAATGAGATATGACCTTATATCTTTTAGAATGGCTATCATCAATCAGCAAACAACAAATGTTGGCAAAGATGTGGAGAAAAGGAAATCCTCATGCACTGTTGGTGGGAATGCAGACTGGTGCAGCCACCATGGAAAACAGTTTAAAGGTTCCTCAAAAAATTAAAAATGGAAGTGCCTTATGACACAGAAATTCCAATTTTGGGTATATATCCAAAAAACTCAAAACACAATTTGAAAGAATATATGCATCCCTATGTTCATTGCAGTGTTTTCAATAGCCAATAGATGGAAGCTATCAAGAGATGAATGGATAAAAAAGCTGTAGTACACATATACAATGGAATATTACTAGACCATAAAAAGAATAAAATATTACCATTTGTAACAGCATGAATGGAACTAGGGTATTATGCTAAGTGAAATAAGTCAGTTAAAGACAAATACCATATGATTTTACTTATATGTGGAATCTAAAACTCATAGATACAGAGAACCGACTGATGGTTGCCAGAGGGGAGAAGGGGTTAAGGGACTGGGTGAAAAGGTGAAGGGATTAAAAAGTACAAGTTGGTAGTCACAAAATAGTCCAGGGGACATAAAGTATAGCATAGGAAACATGGTCAGTAATACTGTAATAACTATGTAAGGTGCCAGGTGAGTAAATAAAATGGTTGTTGTTTTAAGGCTTGACATTTTGGGCATGGTTTGTGACATAGTAGATAACTGGATCAAATGCTCAGGAGAAAAATAAATGAGGACAAAAAGACAGGAGGATGCAGGGGGATTGTGTTAGAGAGGGTGGTCAAGGAAGGCTTTTGATAAGAAGACATTTGAGCAGAAAGCTGATGGCAGTGAGGGACCAGACCATTTGGCTATCTGAAACAAGTGCATTCCAGGAAAATGCTGGTACCAAAGGGCAGGAAATGTTAGGCATGTTCTAAGAACAGTTTAAAGGTCAGTGTGAGTAGAGCATGGTGAGCAAGAGGGGATTGACAGGAAATCTAGGGAGAAGGGAGGGAGCACAGGGTCAAGTAGATATAGGATAAAGACTCTGAGATGACATGATCTGATTTACATGGGAAAAGGGGCACATTGAAGTGGAGAACAGAATGTAGGGAAGGCAAGAATGGAAGCAGGGCAACCATTTAGAAGCCTGTTCCAATAATCCAGTAAGAGATGATATGGGGTTGAACCAGGAAAGTAGCTGTGGAAATTATGAGTTGGATTTTGGTTTTATTTTGAAGGGAGAGCCAACAAGATGTAGTAATGGATTGCATTGAGGAAGAGAAAAAGAGAGGAATCAAAGATGATGTAAGCACCTGGCAGAATAAAGTTGCCATTTACTGAGATGGGGAAGAATGAAGAAGGAGCTAGTTCAGACAGAAAAATCATGAATTTGGTTCTGGAAGTATCAAGTTTGAGGTGTCTGTTAGACATCTATGAATGTGTGAATCTGTAAGCTCCCCCTCTCTGTGTGTAACCTGCATGTAACTCTGTTGGCTTATTGGGGAGGTCTCCCCTAATAAATCTGGCATGTGGAAAGATACAAATGTGTGCAAGTGGCTCCTTTTGGGAATGCTGCCTTGCTCAAGACACCATCCATGAAACTGACCAGAAACAGCACAACAAAGAGTTTCAGAACTAAATGCTGGTCTGGAATACCACCCAGGTTTTAGATTGACTCTGGGTAGGACACACATGAATAGACCAAAACAGTACTGAAAAGGCTTTAAAACTAAATGGAAGAAACCAAGATGGTGGCATAGGTAAACATTGGTGTTGGGGTCCAACCCTAGCGGGTCCAGGGGTTCCCAAAGGTGTGGACGGAGTCAGCGAAGAATGAATGACACGGAGGCAGCGTTCAGTTGATCAGCAGCCTAGCCAGGTTCTCTAGCCAGGATCTCCAGCCCAAGTTCTGTGTATTTATACCAGTTGATTTTAATCCTGTCAATTTCTATTGCAAAGGTTAGGGCGTTTCTTATCTCCATTCCAGGGAGTAAAGATTATGTAGCTTAAGGGTGTTTGTTCATAGTTAAAGTGATTAACTACCCGCCTGGCACTTAGTTAAGGGGTTTTATTCCCTCCCTAACTTCAGGGGAAAATCCCTACCTGGGGAAACAACCTTTCTCGGAGAGGTGACCTTGGTTAAAACACATAGCGCCAAGAAGGGGAGCAAACATATTAAGAACAGTATGCCATATACGCCAGGTCCCTTGAAACATATGCTGTGCAGATGTTTCTTCCCTGCAGCGACTGTGTCAAGCAGCAAGGATGGACCGGCTTCCGGCACATCGGAGATTGCTGCCTCGCACAACCACTTCAAAAATACAACTAAAAGACATAACGGACATCATCCAGAACCACAGGAAGGCTGGCTGAGTGGAATTTCTACAACTAGAAGGAAAGAGAAAAGCATATCGAGACTCAGAGGAGGTGCGGTGCTGAACTAAATACAAAGGTGCGGAGGTGCATGCAGAGAGGGCTGGCGGCTGAGGACACGGTTGTCTTTTTCAATCGGGAGAGAGTCTCAAGCTCTGAGCTCCAGTTCCCGGCGAGTCTCTGGGGACCCAGACTCATACGGGAGAAACGGATCAGTTGGAACTCGAGGGCAGCTTTCTCTCAGAGGCACTCGCAGCAAGTGAGTCTAAAAATCAAGTGAATAAAAAATCTGATGAACAGAATAAACATGATTACAATAGAATCAGGGGCATAGAAAGGGAGTGGACTAACAATTCTCAGAGGGGAAGGGGTGTGGGGGTGCGTGAAGAGACTGGACAAAAATCATACACCTATGGATGAGGACAGTGAGGGGGATAAGGACAGAGGGTGGGGTGGGAATCGGGTGGAGGGGAGCTATGGGGGGAAAAAAGAGGAACAACTGTAATAATCTGAACAATAAAGATTTAATTATAAAAAATAAAATAAAATATTAAAAAAATAAAGTCCTACAATTGGCTCCTCTCTGAGGGGCGTGGCTAGGCCCTGGGGGGCGTGGCTGGACTCTAGGGCGGACCCAGCCAGCTTAAAAGCCTGCGGAGGGGTGCAGCCCACACTGTGGTGGCTGTTAAGCTTGGAGGCATGGAGGAGTGCGCTTGCCTCTGCGGCGTGGGCTCTTCGCGGGAATGTCGGTGTCGTCAGGGGCGCCAGGGCCCAGCGGAGACGGCAGCAGCTGAGGGCAAGCCGGCCCCGGCAGAAAAGCCCCTCGAGGCGGAGGCAGCAGCGTGGTGCTGTGCGGGGAGTGGAGGAATCGCTAGCCCCATGCCGCCCCCGCACTGCTCGCTGCAGGACCTGCCGGTGGAGCTGCTGGTGGAGATCTTCGCCTCGCTCCCCGGCACCAACCTGCCCAGCCTGGCCCAGGCCTGCACCAAATTCCACCACATCCTGCACACCGACAGCATCTGGAGACGGCGCTGCAGGGAGGAATATGGCGTTCGTGAAAAGTTGCAGAACCTGGAGATGATCGGTATGTCTTATCGAGAAGTCTACACGAAGCTGCTCCACCCATATAGAAATATTTTGGGATTGTGGCAGCCAGATCAAGACTATGGAACACTGCTGTATGTAGCGGCGGATGGCTTATGCATTACTGGTTGGACGTACGGGCCTTGCCTTAACACCCATGAGGATGGCCCACTGCAATTCAAGCCCTCGTTCAGAATTCGGCTGACGGAGAGGAAATCAGCCACGGTGGAGTGCCTGGAAGGCCGCATCAGCAGGCCCCACAACTGCCACGTGCAGATTCGGAAGGACAGGCTCACCCTCCAGTGCAGGAAGACAGACCACCGAACGGATTCACCAACTCGGCTTAGGGGAGAACGGGGGTGGGTGCTGCCGCAGGACGGTCAGCAGTATGACTGGGTGACCTACCGTCGCCTCTACCTCCCGCCAGGCCACCCGGGCGACCTCATCAGGCCAGGCCTCTTCCAATTCAAATGCGAGATGTGCAGACGAAAGAAGATTGCCATGCTCAGCTTCCATGGGAAGTATGCCAGGGTCACCGAGATCAGGGGAGGGTTAATCTGGACGTTAGAGATCCACCTCAGGCGCCGCATCCAGCTGCGAGATGGCGGGTTCTTCCACGACTTCAACGAGCTCTCCCGCGTGGTCCGGGAGATTGGCGAGCAGGTGATCTGGGAGCAGCAGCAGCAGCAAGAAGACGGGACAGAGGAAAGCGAGGGCCATGGCTGGCAGAGCCCTGCCCAGCCCAGCGTCGGGGAGTCCGGGGCTGCAGCTTCGGAGGAGCAGCCTGTCCCGTTTGTTCTGCCTGAGGGCGTGCGCTCAAGTGACCAGAACTACCCCCGGACCTGCAGGATGTGTTTCTATGGCAGGGACAGTGTTACCTTAGGTGTCTTCACCCGCCGCCGCCGCCACCGCGGGCCCGACCATGGAGTCTTCATCCTGTTCGATGAGAGCCACTTCGGGTTCATCTGGCTGGAGAGGAAATACTTCATCCTGTTCGGCAGAGTCCAGAACACCTTCCAGAATGTGGAGGCACCATCCCAGCAGGGCTTCCTGGAGATGCTCTAGAACATTCAGCCCAGACCCCCTTGGAGGAGCAGCTGGCTTACACTTTGAAGTTACCCACCTTTGTTTGTTTTTTTAATCCTCACCCGAGGATATTTTCCCAGTTGTTCGCCTCCTGCCCAAGCCTGGACCAGGGCCAGGCTGGGTAGGAGCCAGCAATTGAGGTAGAAATAAACCTTAGACCAGTGGTCTCAACCTTCCTAATGCTGCGACCCTTTAATACTGCTGGGTATTTCTATTTCTTGTGTAACCTGCATGTAACTCTGTTGGCTTATTGGGGAGGTCTCCCCTAATAAATCTGGCATGTGGAAAGATACAAATGTGTGCAAGTGGCTCCTTTTGGGAATGCTGCCTTGCTCAAGACACCATCCATGAAACTGACCAGAAACAGCACAACAAAAAGGAAAGGCAATTTTCCTTTTATAAGGAGACATTTGAGCAGAAAGCTGATGGCAGTGAGGGACCAGACCATTTGGCTATCTGAAACACGTGCTGCTGGGGCTGCAGCCCAGGAGAGGGACAAGTAGCTGGTGTACATAAGACAAGTCGCTGGTGCCCGGGTCTCTCTCCCGGGCTGCAGCCTGGACCACAGGGCAGGCAGCTTCACAAGCTCATTTGTGCCTGGCTGGTCTCCATCCCAGTGTTGAGTGTCTGAGCCGTTACAGCATGATGGCATGACAGTGTGAGGGCATGATGACCATTTGCATATTAGCTCTTATTATATAGGATTGCCTAAAACTCTAAATAGGCCAAATGTCTTTTAATGAGCAAATAGATAAACAAACGAGTGCATCCATACAATGGAATACTGCTCAGCCAGGAGTATACTCTTCTTTAAAAATATATTTTTTATTGATTTCAGAGAGGAAGGAAGAGGGAGAGAGAGATAGAAACATCAATGATGAGAGAGAATCATGGATCAGTGTCCTCCTGCACACCCTAAGCTAGGGATCAAGCCCCCAACCCAGGCATGTGCACTGACTGGGAATTGAACACTGACCTCTTGGTTCATAGGTCAATGCTCAACCACTGAGCCATGCCAGCTAGGCAGGAGTATCCTCTTGATATACATAATTTGAATTGTTTTTCTTTCTCTCATGTCATAAGGGTATTATACTGAGTGGGGAAAAAACCACCAACCTCAAAAGATTTCATTTATATAATATTCTTGAAATGTCAAAATGTTAGTGATGAGAACAGATTAATGGCTTCCAGGGGCTAAGGATAAGGTATGACTATAAGGGGGGAGTTTCTTTGTGGGGATGAAACAGTTGTATGTCCTGGATGTGGTGGTGGCTACATGAATCTCTACTACACCCCCCCCCCCAATAAGTACATGTAAAACATGAAATCCAAATAAGGACTGTAGTTTCATTGTACCAATGTCAGTTTCCTGGTTTTGATGATATATTATGGTTATGTCAGATGCCATCTTTGGGGAAAGCGGGGTGGAGGGTACAGGGAGTACTTTTCCAACTTCTTGTGAATCCTTAATTATTTCAAAATAAATAAATTTAAAAAAGCTAATAAGGAATAGCCAGCGAGGTAGGAGAGTCCAGAAGCCAAAGGAAGAAAGTCTTTCATGTAGAACAATGTGACTTCAGCATTTGGTTATATGGAGGTCACTAGGGACTTAGACAAGAGCAGTTTTGGTATAGAAGTAGGCACAGAAGCCTGACTGGAGAGTGCTCAAGAGAGATTGGAGGGAGAGGAAGTGGGAACAATGAGTACAGTGTAGAAACAGTTAAGATTCTTTTTGTAAAAAAAAAGGACTCAATAATTTCTACCTCTGGATTTTAAAAATATTTTATAATAAGTTGTAAGTCACCATTAACTTGTCATAAAACACCTGGTTATTTAACTTTATCAGCAAGCTCTGGTGCTATAAAATATATGACATTTTCTTGCCTTGTTTTGTAATTCTGTTTTTGAAAATACAATTGTGTCACTCTGAGTGCCTCTGGGGGATAAATTATACTAGTTGTTAATAACCAGGGTAGCAAGGGACTGCCCATGAAGAGAGGATGGAAAAATAATGCAGCAAGCAGATTAATTAATAATGTGACGCATCTGAATGTTTTCAGCTCTCAGACTGCAGTAATGATCCCATCTCCTTGACTACCAGCGATTGTTCATGCTTGTCATAAAAAAACAAAAACGAAGAACCTTGAAGAAGCTTAAAGTGGAAATGGTAAACAGAAAATTGCCTTTCCTCTGCAAAAAGCAAACCAAAAAACCCCTCTAAAATGCCTTTCCTTCAATCAAAACAATAGAATTTATTGTCAACAGATAAATGATGCACATTAAAAACAAAGCCCTTACAAATAGAATTAAGAGACTTATGTAGCCCTCTCAGAGGAAGAATTAACTGAGATTCCCAACTATAGCATCCATGTTGGAAGAAAAATGTCAAAACAACAACAAAAAAACATAATCAAAGAATCAGGTTCAGTACTCATTATGATCCTATCTAATGAGGATCTTAAGACAACTTTACCCCATTTTTATAATAAGTGGAGCTAACAAATGCCTATGGCTCTGTTCTTTCTTTTTTTCTTTTCCGGCTTTATCAAGGTATAATTTACACATAACATTGTATAAATTTAAGGGGGGAAATATATTCATTTGATATACTTATATATTGCAAAATGATTACCACTATAACATTAGCTAACATCTGAAGATTTGTTCCCAAGGAGAAAGAGATCAACATCAATCCACATATACTTAGAAGTTCTGTTCATTTGTATCATATCAAGAATAAATTTGTTTATTTATTTTTGATTCATTCATTCACTCATATATCCAACAATTAATTATTGACACTGTGGATACAAGAATACAGTGATTCAAAAGATAAGATAACAGAAAACACCTAATCAAAAATATGAAGATAGTGTAAGGAGCTTATGGGACAATATGAAGTGTACAAACATTTGCATCATGGGGTGCCAGAAGGAGAAGAGAGAGAACAAGGAATTGAAAACCTATTTGAAAAAGCAATGACAGAAAACTTCCCTTACCTGATGAAAGAAATAGACATACAAGTCCAGGAAGATCAGGGAATCACAAACAAGATGATTCCAAAGAGGCCCACACCAAGACACATCATAATTAAAATGCCAAAGGTTAAAGACAAAGATAGGATCTTTATTTTATTTAAAAAATTTATTTATAGTTTACATTCAATATTACTTTGCATTAGTTTCAGGTATACAGCACAGTGGCTAGACCAGCTGTGGGCAAACTACGGCCCGTGGGCCGGATCCGGCCCATTTGAAATGAACAAAACTAAAAAAAAAAAAGACCGTACCCTTTTATGTAATGATGTTTACTTTGAATTTATATTAGTTCACACAAACACTCCATCCATGCTTTTGTTCCGGACCTCTGGTCCAGTTTAAGAACCCATTGTGGCCCTCAAGTCAAAAAGTTTGCCCACCCCTGGGCTAGACAATCATACACCTTACAAAGTATTTTCCCTTATATCTCAAGTATCCACCTAACACCACACATAGTCACTACAATACTATTGACTATATTCCCAAAGCTGCAACCCACCTCCCTGTGACTATTTTGTAACTACCATTTTGTACTTCAAAATCCCTTTGTCTTTTTCACCAAGTCCCCCAGTCCCCTCCCCTCTGGCTAGCATCAGTCTGTTCTATCTAGGATTCTGTTTTAATTTTGTTTACTCTGTTTTTTAGATTATACACATAAGTGAAATAATATGGTATTTGTCTTTCTCTGGCTGACTTATTTCACTTCGTATAATATTTTCTTGGTCCATCCATGTTGTTGCAAATAGTAAGATTTCATTCAAGATAAAGAAAGAATCTTAAAAACAGCAAGAGAAAAGCAGTTAGTTACCTACAAGGAAGCTTCCATTAGTTTATCAGATGATTTTTCAACAGAAACTTTGCAGGCTATCAGAGATTGGCACAAAATATTCAAAGTGATGAATAGCAAGGACCTCCAACCAAGATTATTCTACCCAGAAAAGCTATCATTTAGAATCAAAGGACAGATAAAGAGTTTCCCAGACAAGAAAAAGCTAAAGGAGTTTATCACCACCAAACCAGTATTACATGAAATGATGAAGGGTCTTCTTGAAGAAGAAGAAGAAGAAGAAGAAGAAGAAGAAGAAGAAGAAGAAGAAGAAGAAGAAGAAGAAGAAATAGAAAATCAGAAAAATAAAATGGTAATAAATACATATCTATCAATAAATACTTTAAATGCATATAGATTAAATGCTCCAGTCAAAAGACATAGGGTAGCTGGATGTATAAGAAAACAAGACCCTTACATATGTTGTCTACAAGAGACTCACTTTAGATCGAAAGGCACACACTTACTGAAAGTAAAGGGATGGAAAAATATTTCGTGAAAATGGGGGAAAAAACTGGTGTAGCAATACTTATATCAGACAGTATAGACTTTAAAACAAAAGCCCTAACAAGAGAGAAAGGACCCAGCAATTCCACTCCTGGGTATTCATCCGAAGAAACCCAAAACACTAATTCAAAAAGACATATGCATCCATATGTTCATTGCATCATTGTTTTCAATAGCCAAGATATAGAAGCAACCTAAGTGCCCAT